TTAACTTGTGGGTTAACCCATAATCCGCTAAGATTATGTTAGAGTTGGACTTTTCCAACATACAACTTATTTACGATCTAACCCGTCACTCAAGTTGACCCAACCCAATCTCGACCCAACCTGTTCGTTTGTTAGGCCTACTAGTTAGTGATAGTGTGTTACACTCTCACATTTCTCTCTCTCTCTCTCTCTCTTTTTTTCCTTAATTTCAATATTCTCAAAATAATTGCTATATTTTACTTAAAATTTATTAAAAATTATTTTTTATTTTTTATTTTTAAAAGAGGCACATATTTTTTTATTTTAACATGTAATCAAAATTTTTTCTCTATTTTTATCAATTTCTTATGATTCATATAAGTAAGAACATAAACTATCACAAAATTCTTAATTTGTTGAAATATATAAAAAAAAGATAATTCTTTTGAAACAAATAAATATGTTTAAAGTAAAATAATAATAATAATAATTACCCTATTTCTTTCAAAAGAAATTAACAGAATCCTTATTAGCTAAAAATTTTGTAAAAATTAGCTATTTGAATACTTGAAACATAAATAGTCCACCCAAAATGCCATATGTGATCTCTTCGGAAAGAACCAAGAGGCAGAGGAAGCCTGCCTCCCTCATTCTAAATTGGAAAAATTACACTTTCTGTCCTCACCTAGTTTAAAAGTTCAGTTATATCCCTCCCATGTTCTTTTAGCTTTTGTTTCTAAATTTAATGATTTGCAGCAACAAAAGTCAAATTCCCAGTTCATCTTGTGTTAACATTAACTTAAATAAAATCTTTGTTTTACAAATTTAATTATAAAAAGTACTTTACTGTCTAAATTGATTTAAATAATAAAATATTAATCATTCGATAAAATATTAAACTCTTTAATTTTATAAAATATTTTTTATTTAATAATTTTTATTTTATAAAATTCAGACTTATTCATATTGTAAAATAAAATTCTAATTTGATTTTATGTACTTTCTATTTCGAAGGTGTGGCTGCACGAGGTCCATGTTAGGTTGTAAGAAAAATGAATTGAGGGTAGAAACTTGGAATTTACGATGATGAATTGTAAGCTGAATTACCTAAGCCATTCACCGTGGGGGCCTACTCATGGTCAACGGCCTAAAAGTTTGTACACTTTTGTCTAGTATATTGATGCTAATTAATTTAAAAAAAATTGTCTTAAAAATTTTAATAAACATTCTCAAGTTATACTTAAACATATAAATTATCTTTATATCTTAATTTAAAGAAATAAAAAATGAACTAAGTTCTCTTACCCAATAATTTGTCTCTAAATCTTAATATTTAAGTTTAATTGATTAAAAATTCGATTTTCACAAACAATTTTAAAAAAAAACATTCCTTATTTCTCAAAATTTCTCTATGTTAAAAAAAAAGAAAATGATAATTATTTAGAAATAAAATAAATATAAAACTATTATTTCAATATGAATGTAAATCAAATTATGTATAAGTTTAATAAAATTAAGTTTTAACTATTCATCAAATATAAAATCACCTTTATTGTTTAAAGATAATTGTATACTTATTTTAAAAATCATAATAAATTTTCAGTTATTCATTTTTTTGATACATTCTCAGCCACTTATGGTGCAACATAAATATTATGCTTATAATTATCTTATCTCTTTTAAAATGTTTCTTTTTTGTAATAATCAATAAATTATACAATAAAAAATAATCCTCATTTTTTATCAATTTATTATGTTTCTCAACTTGTCTCAAATTTTAAAATTTAAATATAAAATTTTTAATTACTTAAAACCCTTCTAAATTTATCCCCTTTAAATTATGTTAAAAAGGTGCCAATAAATAACAACATCTTGTACTAAATCAAAAATCTTTCAGGCTCGACTTCCCTTATTTGTTTTTGGGGATCCACAGCAACCAGCCAAATACAGCCAAAAAGTGAACTGCAAAACAAGTTAATTGGGAATTCGACATGGCCCTAACACGCAATTGAATTCACGCCGGTGGTAAAAACGAGTCATTAAATTGAAATATTTTATTAAAAAAATTAAGATATTTTAATATTTAAAATGTTAAAATTTTTTTATAAATTATTTAAAATTTTGTAATAAATTTTTTATATTATATTTTTTAACAATATTTAAATGATTTCATAAAAAAATCTTAACATTTTAATTATTAAGATATTTTAATTTTTTATAATTTTTTATTTATGTA